ACTCTTTCCTTCTGTTGGCAATTTTGTTTTGCAAAGTGGATGCTAAGGTCTAAAATGGCCTCTAAAACCTCTGGGCCTATCAAAGTGGACCAAAAACAGATGCAGGAAAAAATTAAATATCTCTGTACAAAGATTAATTCTAACCCTGAGGCCATCAAGTAGGGTACCATAAGAAAGGAGTCAGACTTCAGGAAAATGTAACTATTCAATCCTAGAATTTCTTCAGAGTAAAGTGGCATCCAGGAGAATTTCCAAATCAAAATTCCAGGGCTCCTAGAAGTTATGGGATAACTCCAGGTCAATGCATTCCAATAGAGAACCATCTGTGTTAGGAAAAACGTTCTATATCTGTGCTGTCTGACGTCATAGCCATGTGCAGCCTCGGAGCAGGCTAGTGTGACTGAGGAACTGAACTTGAAATTTTACTTAATTTTAATTAATTTTAATCTAAACAGCCACATGTGGCTAGTGGGTACTGTACTGGCTAATGCAGCTCTAGATCATCAGTATGAAATGCCCAGAAAACCATTTACTTCTTGCAAAGTCTTGGGGGTTTATGTCTTTATTAAAATAAGCCCAATGGGAGTATAAGAGCCAATACTGAGGAAAAATCTAATTTCCCTTGTGGCCCTGAACCTGCTCTTATTCCCTTTGAAGTTCTAATACAAGGGTTTGACAAAGGAATGAAAATGGCCCCTTAAAAATCAGGAGATAACATTTATATGCCAGTAAGTGTGCTGAAGCACAATCGCTACAACCTATGTCTTATTTTTGTCATCACAAGGATCCTCAATCCTCACTACAATAATTATCCCCATTGCATGGATGAAAAACTGAGGCGCTGATGTGTTAACTAATTTGCAGAAGCTTTTACAAATTGCAAGTGATGGAACTACTGTATGAAATGAACATAAAGCTGTGCTTTTATCGACTTAGTGGTGTCAGGCTCACCATGTACCAGAGTGGATCATGGCTTTCCTAAGTTTCAACCTAGTTTTCTTCTAAACTGAACTGGAACTAACACTGAGATATCGAAGTGATAAAAAAAAAAAAAAAAGATAATCCTCTCAAATGCTTCCTTAGCTTCACTGCAGTTCATAATCAAGAGCTGTAATTTTCTGTTTCTTTGAGCAAACATCAGACACTTACCTGCCAGGTCAAGTGGGAACTGCAGCATGCTCCAGGTCCATATAACAAGGATGGCATAGACCAGAGCAGGGCTATTCCTAGAATGCAGACAAAATTTTAAATTAGTGATGAAAAATACGAACACATGCAGAAAAATCTTGTCTCTTTTTGTTCTCATATTTGACTATATCCTAATAAACCTCTTGAGAGTTGTCAGAATATCTTGGTGATATAAGATATCCATGAAAAATTCATGCATGATTAAAATGGAATAATGAAAAAGAAGTTTAAAAAAATCTGGGACTTAAAACCCAACTTCCACATGTGCCAACATCTGTGTGAATTATGGCAGAGCCTCTTGGTCCTATATTGCTGTATTTAGTTTTACAGAATCATGGACACATTATGGGAGGGAAATGCTAGGACAAAAGTTAGACATTAACCTGGAAATTCAGAGGACTGATTTCAAGAAATTTCAAGGAGGGAAAGTGAAAACTGTTCCAAGATCCCAAGACTCTAGCTTAAAAGTACATCTCAAAAGGGCTAGATGAGGCTCAACGATTAAGAGCTTAGCGTGTCAAAGAAAGTTATCCTCAGTTGAAAAAAAAAGTAGGGAGATAAATCCAATAATCAAAGATATACATTGGACACTAGGATGTAAATCAAAGAATGTGATTGTTTCATTCACCGTTGAATTTCCCCAGTGCCTATAACAGTGCCTGGCAAATAACAGTCACTCAACAAATATTTGTGGAAGGAATTGCTGAACGAATAATCAAAGGATCTGTACTTGGAAGAAATACAAATGTCATAGACCTAGGAAAATGGTCTTGAAGACTAAAGTCAGAAAGAAGAGAGGTTACAAAAACACAAAGGATCCAAAAGAAGTCTCAGAGTCACTTTTTTACAGCAAAAACCCAGAGGAAATTATTAATTTGAGGTTAGTGGTGTAATAACAGATTTTGTTGCCAACTTCTCTGTCAAGAGGGATTTCCAGAATGGAGCGGGATAGAAAAACATCAGGGAAGAGTAATTGAAACCAAACTCAATGAGGTGATTGTAAGGGATATCTTTAAAGGCTTCGAGTATTGAGGCCCTGAAAATTTAGATCTTAAAACTCTGAGAGAATTTGTAAATGAGATTTCTAAGCCATCATTATCTGTCCTGGCAGTTAATGATGAAGACAAGGTTGGTGACAAAAAAATGAAGTCTTAACTTTCAAAATGAAGCAGAAGTATATCTTCAGCTGTAAAGGCACATTTACTGTTAATCCCTAGTTAGATTATATAACTGATTATTTGAAAGATTTCTGAGAGCCCTTATTGAAGAAGACAGTGTTACCTGAGAATCAGCACAGTTACCTGAGAACAACGGCACTCAGCTAAGATTATTTTCTCTCTCCCCCCGCCCTTTTTAAAAAAAATGGAGTTAGGATTACTAAGCAGATAATGATACATACATAATAATAGACACTGGATTTAAACAAGGCTCATGAAAAAAGCCTCCCATAGTGTTCTTATTAGCAAGATTAAGAAATGTTCTGAGTGTGAGTACAGTTAGGTGGATTCCTAACTGTGTAAATGACTCAGGGATTTGTAAAGGGAAGCTCTCCAGGGGTCGCTGCAGGCTCTGCCTTTGATTCTGTTTTACTTCACATTTCATCACTGAGTTGGTTGCCAACATTGATGGAAGGCTTCTCATATGCACATATGACATTGGGGGCTGGATGAGAAACCAATACCCCAGAAGACATAATCAGGATCCCCAAAGATCTTGACAGGATGTAACTGGATGACCTAGAATAGGATGGAAGAGGTAGCACTGCACAGCAGCAGCCATTAAAAAGGCTCAAGGATTTCCCCTTCCTGTTATCTAATTATGAGTCCGCAGTGTGACATGATTTATGATTTTCCAAAATCAAATGCAATCATAGGTCTCTTCCCGAGAAGTTTAAGTCTAGAATTTTAAGTGAAAATGCCCAGGGAATGCAGTCTATAACTTTTCCCTCTTTGCAAAGTCAGTGTCTCTATATAGTAGACCTTCAATAAGTGCCTGAACTTTTAAATAATCTTGCCTGCAGTTTCTGAGCTCATACTATGTGCCAGGCAGTTTTCTAAGTGTTTAACTCTGCGATCACACTTAATCCTCATACCAGCTCGACAAAGTACGTACACTTATTATCTCTATTTGGCCAGTGATTTCAGCATCCATCTTTTTACCTTTCCATGATAGTATTTCCATGAAGGAAATGGAAAGTTTTAGCCCTGCTCTATTCTACAATATTCAGGGTGTATCTGACATATTATGTGTTGTCCTTCATGTTTTAGGAGGAACACTGAAAACATTTTTGGTCCAAAAAAAGAGAGACTAGGGTGGTGAGAGGACTCAGAGCCATGTTAGACATGGCATAGTTCAAGGAACTAAAAACTAGAGAAGACTGCTTTAAAACTTTATTTCATACATTTAAAGGGTTATCATGTGGAGAAGGAATTAAACTTATTTCTTACGACTTCGGAGGGCCAATTCAGGTTCAGAGAATTTGAGTTGCACCTGTAAGAATCCAAATTTCATCCCAGTAGAGGAAAGTACTTTCTAATAATACTAATTCAAAATAGAACACGTCGCCCCTGGGGTTAGTATATTCTCTATTAGTGAAAGTTTTCAAAGAAAGTCTGGACAAAAACTTGAGAAAATTTTGGAGAGGATTTTGTAACAGATGTAAAATAGGTTTCTCAATAGATGGTCACTTTTGAAGTTTCTTCTCATCTCACGCTTCAGTAATTCTACGAAAAACTCTTGTGCAATTTGTCTGCAGGCAGCAGAAAGAAGTGGTAAAGCATGAGCTCTGGTGCTAGGTTGCCAGAGTTCAAATACCAGCTCTAACCCTCACCAGAGAGACAGGATGTGGGCTTCCAGTCCCAGACTAATCATTTACCAGCTACACGAATATGAACAAGTAAGTTAATACCTATGTGCTTTAGTTTACCCACCTTCAATGTGAGGATGACAGTAATAATAGCTATTGGATTTTATATGATAATTTTTATTAAATATATTGTTTAAATATGTTAACCATATAAAGCTCTTAGAACAGCACTGGATGAAGACTAGGCATGGTATACTACCACAAGTTAAGTATTATTATTTTTTACCAGGTAACCTTGAGACTCTTGCAACTTCTCTTGCCTGCCCTTGTTAGCTTATAATATCGTGGTAATGACAGTATCTACCTCATGGTGGTGTTGTAAAGACTAAGTAACTCATCACAACTAAAACCCTTAGAACAGTGCTTGGAACACAGCAAGAGATAAATCAATATTATCCACTACTACTGTTAGTAGTAGTAATAGTATTTTTATTATGTGAACATATTTCTTAAACTCTTTGTGTTTTATTATTATACAAAACAGGGATAAATAATAAACTGACCTTAGCCCTAAGTAAGTCAAACTCTAACCCTCTAATACCAAATATATGTCTTTTGCATTCACAAGTATTATTATCTGAACACACACAATATGGGAGAATGTGGGTGTTGAGAAACCTATTACTAAAGTTATCAAAAATAACTTTGGAAAAGATGGCCAGAAAATCTTTGGAGCAGACAAATTTGTATTATTAATTCAGACAGTAAAATTTACCCAGGAAGTTTAAATGCTGGAATATAAATACGTCACTGAGCTTAAATGGCAAACACTCCAAATTTGTGAAGGAATTTTGGAGTCAATTTCTCCAGCATCGTCTCTGTTGTATAATTGTCTCCCCAACTTGTCTTGCCCCATTTTCTCATGTGTAATCTGTCTTCATAAACGTCAACTGAGAAGCATGTAAGCAGACAATGGGCTCTATTCATATAGAGACAAAAGATCATTTGAAGTATAATTATAGATGTATCACTTCTCCGCTTGGAAAACTAGGAGGATAAAACACTGGCATTTGGTAAATCAGTGCACCACAACTATTGGGTGAAAAGTAAAAATAAAGTCATAAATTGCTAATTTTTTTTATTAAAGTATAGTTGATTTAAAATGTGTTAATTTCTGCTGTAGAGCAAAATGACTCAGTTATACATAAATATGCATTCTTTTTTAGATTCTTTTCCATTACGGTTTATCCCAGGACATTGAATATAGTTCCCTGTGCTATACAACAGAACCTGTTGTTCATCCATTCTGTATATAATAGTTTGCATCTACTAATCCCAAATGTGAGGATGACAGTAATAATCCCAAATGTGAGGATGACAGATTTTATATGATAATTTTAATTATATTGTTTAAATATGTTAAACATATAAAGCTCTTAGAACAGCTAAGAGCTGTTCCCACCCCGCCCCCCACCCCCACCTTGGCAACCGTAAGTCTGTTCTCTATGTCTGTGAGTCTGTTTCTGCTTCATAGATAGGTTCATTTGTGTCATAGTTCAGATTCCGCATGTAAGTGATATCATATGGTATTTGTTTCTCTTTCTGACTTACTTCACTTAGTATGATAATCTCTAGTTGCATCCATGTTGCTGCAAATGGCATAATTTTGTTCTTTTTTATGGCTGAGTAGTATTCCAGTGTACATTTGTACCACATCTTCTTTATCCGTTCATCTGTCTCTGGATATTCAGGTTGTTTCCATGTCTTGGCTATTGTGAATAGTGCTGATATGAACATAGGGGTGCATGTTATCTTTTTGATTATAGTTTTGTCCAGATACATGCCCAGGAGAGGGATTGCTGGGTCATATGGTAATTCTGTTTTTAGTTTTCTGAGGAACCTCCAGACTGTTTTCCACAGTGGCTACACCACCTTACATTCCCACCAATAGTGTAGGAGGGTTCCCTTTTCTCCACACCCTCTCCAGCATTTGTTACTTGTAGACTTTTTAATGATGGCCATTCTGACCAGTGTGAGGTGGTACCTCACTGTAGTTTAGTTTTGCATTTCTCTAATAATTAGCCATGTTGAGCATCTTTTCATGTACATATTGGCCATCTGTATGTCTTCTTTGGGGAAATGTTTACTTTAGATCTTCTGCCGACTTTTTGATTGGGTTGTTTTTGTTGTTGTTGAGTTGTATCGGCTATTTGTATGTTTTGGAAATTAAGC